TTCAACCCTGGTTTTCTCATCAGAGCAATATTGTCCCAGGATGACCTATGGACAAAAGATGAAGGAAAAGGAGGAAATATTTCCTTCAATGCCCAAAGAAAAGGATCCATAGATCTAGAAGTTGAGAGCCATGTGCTCTTGTTAGCTATTATTGAATCTTTTCTAAAGTGCACCTGCAGATATGCGAAGGAGAGGAACTGTCAAATCCTCATTGGAAAGGAGAAGGACTAGGTCCCTTCGCTGGGTTTTATTACAGTACCTCTTTGTTTGGTGCCATTTTCCCTCCTGGACTTAGACTCAATTGGAGGGTCTAAGTCCAATTCTTTGCTTTGCCCAGCTCAGCATTTGTCCCCAAGTTTACTACCTACCTTAACAAAAGGCTGCTCATTTCTTTAATATTACTTCCAAGCCGTCTGTTTCTGACTTGGAAGAATGAGGGCTTTGGGGTCTATAATAATCAGCACAGGAAGAGAAAAGGGGCAAAGGTTTTTGTTACCAAATATTCAGCTCTCAAAAGTTGAGTCACCATCACAGGACCAAGCAGACAACATCACCATCTTTCAAAGTACAGCTCTGACACTATTTTTCCCTGGCACATGAATGTTCTCATGACAGCCAACTCCATTCCTCTGCTTCTGTGTTGTGTGCCTTCTGGAGAAAGCAAGACCGCTCACTCCTCAGCCTTCCTCAAAGCCAGGTGGCACTTGGTGCAGGAAGGTGCAATCATTCTCGGAAATCAATAAGGGCRGAACAAAGTTCTGATCAATAACTGCAGCTGCCAGAAAGAAAAAAAGCACACCTGCCCCTCCACAAACAAAAAATTTAGGTAGAGTGTGCCTGAGCTGGGGGAGGAAAGAGGAGTATATATAGTTTCACATCCCTGGATTCTACATAAAACTTAATTGATGTAACTGGTACAAACCATAGTAATCTCAGGGCAGTCTGCCATGTGGATCTGAGAATATACTCCCATGACTCCARGGTGTCACACAGACTCAGTGGAATGACTTTTCGGCTTAATATAAAGTGAGGACTGCCGCAGGGTGATAGATTCCTTTCTGCTTTCAAACAGTAGCCCAAGAAGCAATCATCCCAAGAAGCAATAGAGGTGTTTTATCTCCTCAGTGATGGCAAAGGGACCGTCCTGACTGCAAGCACTGATTTATTCCAGAATGCAGGAGTGCTGCTTGCTGCTGGTCTCTACCCCACCGGCCTGAAGGCAGGAACTTTCTTGGTTCACGCCTCTGTCAGAACTGCCCGCCTAACCCGGCAGGAAGCCTTGTCACTAGTATCCTGTCCTGTCTTGGCTGAGAGAATCAGGAGCCCCGCAAGACTAACGCTTAAAGAATCCAGTGACTTCTRGAAGGGTGATTTGCATCCCTTACCACTGGAAAGCTGTGTGCATGTATCTGTCTGTCTGTCTAAAAGGTCTGTATGGCACAGACTGCTCTGAAATGCCTCTTCAGACATTACTTGGTGTAAATCAGGGTAAACTCAATTCCAAACCGACTGGACACATCTAAAATGGCCCTCCCGCCCACAGCTCCTCTTCTCCGACTCTCACTCTAAATCTCGGCATCTGACAAACCACAAGTGAGCGTTTGCAGAAATATGAGGGAACAAGTCCTTGCCAGAGCTGAAAACAAGATGAATGYGGCAACAATGGAAAACACTTAGCACCCCCTGGGCTGGCAGGGCACCGGACCTGGTATGGGCGCACCAACAAACACAGGATTCACCACAGCGATTTACAGCTGAGATTTATAGCAGGGACTAGAGTGTTGCGCTCCTGCAGATGCAGAGGTTTTCAGAGAAAAGGTAGAAAAGGAAAAATGAAGAAAGAAAGTGACAGATTCAAATGCAAACCAAATATTCTGAGCTACTCTTTTGAGCTCAGAAATTTTACCGTGATTTGGGTGATTTCAATGGTCTTTGAACCACATTGGGAAATGTCAGAATGGATGTTTGAATTAAAATCCAGTGGGTTTGCCAAAGGACCAATTGTTAAAAATTGGCAGCATTCCAGAAAACTTGCCAGGCTGCATACTGCCCGAGGCTCAGAATTGCTAATTCCAGAGAAAGTTAATTATCACCTTATTGATAAAGGGGTAATTTTTAAAGCTTGTGGTGTAGCTTTTGTGACTCATTAATTAAAATTTGGGGTAATTTACTAGACACCCTGGTGGCTTCTGTTACATTATATTTGTACCAAAGTATTTGATTTTTCTCCCAAGAGTGTTTCAAATCCCCCTGGCCCCTCCTTACCTGTCTTCTGTCTTAGAAGGAAAAAAAAATTAAAAAACGTGTAAATCTCAAACTAGCCTTTCAGGAGATGGCAGAGTTAAGAAATAAGATGTCTGAGGATGCATTTTTTAAAAGCTCCTTCTTAGAAATGTCAAATTTGCCCACCAATAGAAAGAAGCTTGTGTGCCCACAACCAAGGAGACTGCTTTCACAAACACCATCCCCAAAAACATTAGGCTAGAATTTATGTTTCTTGATGATCAGATTGCAAGAGGGTCTTTCTTCATTTCCTTTCTCCCTCCATCCCCAAATAAAATCTCAGGGATCAGTGAGAGAAGTAAACTGGAGGTACTTGGAATTCTGGAGCCCTCAGCCCATGAAGGGGTAGTGTCCCCTCAACTGAGTTTCAGGACTTGTGGGGCACCGGGACAGTACACTCAGCTACCTATGATGCTGAGGTTTCCAAGAGCACTGACTTGGGAGGGRAAAAATATCCCAAGGAAATTTACAGGGACCCCATGAACAACACATCTGAGCTTTACCCACCACCTCCGTCCTGACCAAAAGTCACAAGGGATGCACGTAGGTGTGTGTCATGTGCCCTGGGGTTATGCGAAATTGTCAACAGACCTATGAAATGCTCTAAACTTTAACTCCCCAGATTTACAATGTAAAGGTTATTCCTGTCTGAGCATTTCTTATCATGATTTCAGAGAACCTCAGTTATGTTTCCTTGAACTTATTGAAGTAATTGAGATTTAGAAATGAGATTAAATAACAGCCACCACATTAGAAGAGGTTTGAAGCAATCTGTTTGTGATTTTCCCATTCTTAAGAGTTTTTAAAAATTTAAAATTTCTGTCCTTATCCTTTCGGAGTATTGCCTGATTTTTTTTTTTTCTGGTCATTAGCAAATCTTATTGAAYATTTTAATAGTCATCACTTTTTTTGAATTTTCATGCCAAAAGTTCTGAGGGCAGGGTCACTGTATCTGGCTCATTTCCCAGCAGCTGATCAGCTCAGCTTACCTGCTGCTAGAGGCGAGCAGCGACCCCCACCCGAGGACCCAGCACCAGAAAGTGAAACTGCTTAGATGGTTTCSCTGGGCGAAAACACACCACCAAAAGCAAACACCCGACAGAAAGCAATGCACTCTTGTTTCTTTTATTGTTTTTTTTTTTTTTTGTCTTGTTATTACTGTTCCTTGGCTTTCTCTCTTTTGCAACAAAATAAAAAGCAATTTGGGTGCCACAGGAGAGAAATTTAAACATGTCACACATAAAAGAACGGAGTTTTTGTGGTATCTGCACTTTTWAAAATAATCCCATAAATCAAACAGACTGATCAATTTATCAAACAGAACACAAAGTTCCTCCACATACACAATTTAAAGAGTTAAAGAAAATGCATTTATATTTTTTAAAAATATGTCACAAATGTGTTTAAAAGGTAGATTTTGAAGCCACCAAACAACTTCTCTAAAACGGGGGTTCTATATTAACATTTTGAGTTTTGACAATCACTCGGTACTATTCAAASAATCCCTGTTTTCAAGATAGTTCTACCAAGCAACACAAAATGAGTCCCACACAAATACTGCTCTATGAGTGCCTTTATATTTTTTATACTTTTATGATTTTATTCCATATATTCTATCTTCAAAAAACAGTCTCAAGAAAAGAAAGCAACTTATGTCCCTAACTCTTCAAAAATTGTTTCTGTGGTTGGAAAGGAAGAAAAAACAGTGCACAACAAACACCTCAATTCTGAAGCGCCTGGATGACTTTCTCAAGAACCACAGTGCCTGAGACGACTAAAAAGCCACTTTCTCAGAAAGCTGATTTTCTAATCCTTTTGAGAAYTGTCCATAGAATCCAGAGGCAACACGACCAACCACCTTTCATTTACTGTCACAGATAGTGGAGAAAACTTTGATCAAACACATCAGTTTCTGGTAAAATGATTTACTCTGCAGTTGCACCTTACGCTCTCCGGCAGGTCCTGTCCTGCCAGCAAGAGACACAGAGAGGACATCTCAGGCTCCAGAGGGAACATTTGGAGACCAGTTCAGACACAGTGCTCCACCTGGGAAGGAGGTGACTTTGTACTTGAACTTGGGAAAACTATTCCTAACACTCCACGGTCATCTGGACTAAAACCAGCAACCAGCAATAAACACTATTCTCATCTGTGACTGGTAGATTAGGAAAAACCAACACAAAGACAACGCGGAATATTCCATCYGGGATGTTCAAGATAAAAATCAATTTAAAAAACAACACTTCGGTTGTTTAGAGTACACCAATTTTAATAGTCAAATTTTAGATAGATATTTTAATCTCAGGACACACTATAATTTTTTTAATTAAAAAAGCAGAGCAAAGAAAAATTATTGTGGAAAAAAAAAGSTAGCCAGTTATTTGAGTTCACATTTGGAATAAAAATAACTTTCTATATATTTAAATGCAGAGTTAAAACGTAGTGAATGTGTATATATCCAAAATTTATAAACTGTATAGTTCTATGCCACATCTTTCTTCCTGGGTCCTGGTTAAGAAAGCAAACATTGAATTTTGAATAGGAGGAACCGAAGTTTACCTGCTGGACTCAGTGGTTTTAGTGCAGGACACCGTGCATTGCCATAGGGGCAGGCTTGCAACCTAGGAAAAACTAGAATAGGTCTTCTGTCATGCTGACAGCTAGAAGAGAAGGATCCCGTGTCAACGACACACCCTCCAATTGTGCATCTCCCTTACCTACAGCTTGTTCACCAGAGCCCTGATCAGGGTGTTGACCAGGCCGGGAGTGTTGACTCAGAAGACAGATGACTTTCGGCACATGGGAACYGAGTATTGCAAAAGCTGTCTTCCACCCGTGTGCTAGTAGCTCACAGTAAGTCTCCAGCAGCCCTGCTCTCCGGCTGCAAACATCTCATTAGACTAATGCATTCAGCACAGGCAGAACACTCGATTTACCATAGCTACAGCAATGAATTTCCATTACGATGACAGCTTCAACCACATCATGTCCGGAAAACCAGCCAACCACTGGCTTTTAAAGAACACACACATTTTACATGCAGAAAACGAGGCCTGTGTGTGTGCGTGTGTGTGTTTCATGTTTCCTTCCTCTTAGCAGCCCAACTAAGAGAAATGTGCAATGTAGCTTTTTGCCGACACGAGCTGCAAGGTAATGACACTTCTGCTTCTTTGGTAGTTACGTCCTTGTAATAACCTGAATTATGTCACAATTGTCAGAAAGGGTGTTTCCAACATTTCAGTTTTCATTACCCCTCCTCTGTTGCCATAGAAACCAGACTGTAACATCATCTCTTTGTCCCAGTCCTGCAGCAGTGAGGGCCAACACTGGGTTTATAAGATAGTGGTGATCTGACAGAGTGAATATTTGACTTCGGATTAAAAAAAGGAGAAACGTTCCAACAACATCATCGTTCAGGGGAGCCCGTGTGTTTACCATAGAAGTGAGCCTGTGCAGGTGAACACACCATGGCTGTACATATTAACTCTGCAGCTGCCCATAACACCTGTGTACAGGTCATTAACACTGAGCCTTGACTTTGGCTCCAGAACTGTGTGTGTAAGTGCATAAGTGTTTCCACACTCCCAAATATGTTTGCAGCCTGTGTAGGGTGGATGCCCCTTCTACAACAAAAGGGCTTAGAAGATAGCCTTGCTGCCTTCTCTGGTACAAATCAGTTTTACTGGTGAAGGGACTTGTTCTTGTTTCCTTTTGCAGAATACAGCAAGGCTCCCCCGTTGCTCATTTCATTCTCTCAGGGTACTGGGGTATTCACAAGTATTTCCTACAAGATGAAAAGCAACCCACACAGGCTTATTCCTGAGGATGAGCTGTGAGCACGTTCAGCCAGGACTAAATATCAACCAGCACTAATTAAGGCTTGGGCTTAGGCCACAACTTGGTTAGCTACTGAGAATATTAAAAAATGCAATACAACTTGAGGTTTTCCTGAATACACATGCAAAGTCACGCTAGAAAAAAAAATACATCTCTCTCCTCTAATTATGAAGATAGGGGAAATTAATTTTTTTGAAGTCAAAGCATTGCACTTGTTAAAAAGCAATCAACCAATCATCCAATTTTGCTTTATGTGGGAAAAGGCACAGGTCTGGTAGTTTTTCATTTGAGTCACTTCATATAAGTTGATTTCATGAAAAGAAGGAAGAGGAAAGGGTGGGAAGGAAGAGGAGGAGAAAAGAAAGTAGAACCCGCTGGATGATTTAACTTTGGCCTGCATTTGTGAACCCTGTTGTGGTTCTGCCTGTGACTCAGACACAATCCTACACCACATCCAGCTGTGAAGCCCCTTCAGTGAGCTGAGACACTAGGCCAGGCTTCACTTTTAAAAGTTTCTTCTGATAAATAAAACAAATCTTTCTAAAAAGAACCCAAACCATTCCCTATCCTTATTTAAAAAGCGGGGGGTGGGGGGGCTTGACGAATCTGTCCCCCAAAAAGGAGTTTTTCATTTTCCTGCCCAGCTTTGAGGGAGTTTCTGGTCTCCATCTTTGGAGTCAGACTTCCTTATCCCCTCCCAGATGTCCTGTCATCAGGCTTGTCTTTAAGTGAGCTGTGCCTGGGATGTAGTGTTGCCATCTGATAGGTCAACTTGGCAACTTGGCAGTGATGCCTACAACTGAAGCTAAATTAAGCTGGTTACCTTTAAAAATGTGTGTGTGTGTATATATATATATATATATATATATATATATATATATATATATACAGAGAGAGAGAGAGAGAGAGAGAGAGAGAGAGATGATAGATTGATTGATAGATCAATCCATCTCATTGGGATTTCTTCCTTTCTGCAACCAGGACAATAGACCTTAAAAAATTAAACCTATGTTTTAAAAATAATCCCAAATATTCTTAATTCCAAGAAAATTTTACGTTGAACATGTAAGAGAAAAAAAAAATTTGATAGGATGTCAGGGATAAACTAAGAAGAAAATGTAAGAGAAAAAAAAATTTGATAGGATGTCAGGGATAAACTAAGAAGAAAAGGGGACTCCTCAGACCTAAAATCTCTAAATCGTCTACATTCTGATGACAAGCAGGTTGGTTAGGTCGGGCCATGTTAATTTTCTTTGGCACTGTGGTTACATTTCTCCCTCAGACCAATGAAGCTTGCTCCACTCTTCCCCCACAAATGTCACCTGAGTGGTGCTTAGCAAGAGGTGACCAGAAAGCAGATTAATTTGGGAGGTGTCTCCAATGCAAATCCACTTACAGTTGTCCACAGTGGAAGACTAATCTTTCTGTGGGTTGCTGGCAAAGCCACCATTCACATCAAAACCATCCTTTGTTCTCAAAAGGTGTGTTTTCCAACTGGAGCATCAGGTTGACAGGACTCTGCCTTGAACTAGGGTCAATTCTATTGCAGAAAAACCTTGGTTACCATGATAATGGCTAAAGTTTACTGAAGAATTACAGTTTTATACAGTATCCCATTTACAGCTGTTGGTGTTATATATCATTTCAATATTACGGATAAAGAAACTGAGACTTGAGCATGTTAAAAAAAAATTGCAGAAGGTCACATTGTTCAGAAATGGTAGAGATAGGATTTCTCAGGCAATCTGTCCCCAAAGTCATGTGCTTAATCAACCTACCACCTGGCCTCCTGGCACAGCCTCTTATTCCATCTCTGCCATTAGCCCAATGATGTCAGGYGAATCACTGTCTTTCTTTAAAATGGAGGGGGAATGGTAATAGGAGACCAGAACACCTCTGTGGTCCCTCAGGGTMTGATATTCTCCAGTCCTTTGAATGGCTTTCTTTGCCAGGCTGGAAGGCTGGAACAGACCCACATTTGGGGTTGGAGGAGTGCTTCCTTGTGGCTGAGGCTACAGCCACAATTACTAAGAAGCCAAGAACACTTTCTCAATAGGATAAGACTTGGGCAACTAGTGCTTTGGACTGTGGATTTGGGGCAGAAGTAAAGAGGAGAGAACGTAGAGAAAGAAGGAAGAAAAGCCAAGATTCTGTTCCTGAAGCAGGAAAAGGAGACCCAGCCTCCCTGGTAAGGAGTCCCACATCTTCTCTTCCATATTATTCAACACACTTTGCCTTAAGTGTCCCCCAAAACTTAGGAACCCCCCTCAGGGCTATAGAAAGTGTGAGGCTTATGATTATTACTTTGCCAAAGGGGAAATAGAAGGAGCAAATGTTAACTTGGTTAGTGAGGTCAGAGTGGACTTCAGATCTCTTGGTTCCTCAGACTGTCATCTAAAGCCCTGACCTCCGTGGGGTTTGAACTACTCAAGCAGAGACATTTCAAAATTAAAGGCAAAACTGGTCTTTGTAGTAAGCAGCAACTGAGCGTTCGATAAAAAGAGGGTTACCTAAGTAAATATATCATATGTCCACACTACAGAGTACACAAGGTAAGCTCTAGAAAGGAGGTCACAGAAGAACTTGGAATGACTTGAAAAACAATGTTTTCAATATATSATGGCTAAAAAACAATTGTAGGTTACAAAATAATATGCAGAATGGAATCTTACTTTGAAAAAAAACAATGATTTGCAAAATATGGAAGCGATGTTAATAGTAATGATTCCTTGGTGGTAGAATTATAAATGAGCTTATTTTTTWAATATTTATTTAGGTGAAGATGGACACAACACAATGCCTTTATTTATATGTGGTGCTGAGGATCCAACCCGGGTCCCGCCCGTACGAGGCGAGAGCTCTACCGCTGAGCCACAATCCYAGCCCCTAAATGATCTTTATTTTTTTACTTTCTTTTTTATATTTACTACAAAGAATCACCTAGTTCTTTTTGGGATAATAAAAACTTGTGTAAAGGGCTGGGGGTTTAGCTCAGTCATAGAGCACTTGCCTACCATGTACAAGGAAAACTTCTGATCAATCCCCAGCACTGCAGAAAAAGAAAAAAATAATGAGAATTAATCAATTGATTGGTAACAGATTTTTCCTTGTCACATTTGTTTATATTTATTATAAATCTTAAATCACCATTAAAATAAAAATAATCTGGGGGAGTGCCTGGAATCCCAGGAGCTCGGGAGGCTGAGACAGGAAGATCATAAATTCAATGCTGGGCTTAGCAATTTAGCAAGGTCCTAAGCAACTTAACAAGACCTTGTCCCAAAATAAAAAATAAAAAGAGCTGGGGATGTGGCTCGGTGGTTGAGACCCCTGGGTTCAATTCCTGGAACCAAATAAATACATMATAAAATAAAAACAATACCTTTGTCTCCCAGGAGCTGTAGGTTACATTCAGCAAAGGTCTTGGCCAGGGCTTCAAGATTGAATGTGTCCCCCAATTCACCTAAGCCATTGTGTTGTCCTCTATTCTGGGTTTTACCATCTTGAATATTTTGGGGTCCCTGCTGGATACTCAGCACAACCAATACAAAATCAGAAGCAGACTTCCTATCCTTCCCCACCCATGGGTTCCATGGTCAATGGGAATCATATCAGAGTTKATTTTTAGAATAGCTATGTACTAAAGAATAGGAAGTTGATGATMAAATGAAGTAAAAATCACTTCCGTCCAAAGCAAGGATCACTCACTCAAGTTCTCCTGGATGCAATACATGGTCATTTCCAGACAGGCCTCCTATCTGTGTGGCTCTGGACCTGTAACTCCAGCTAACATATAGGGATTATCTTAGTGGAAATWTTTGTCTCAAGGTCTGGTGGTTTGGTGGGTGGGAGCATAGCCCAAAGATCCTCATTCCAGGCCACTGTCTGGTAACTGGACTAGTATGGTGAGCGCATACCAACATCAGCACTTTTCCTCCCTTGCAAGGCTGTAAATTCCAAGATGGCAGGGAATGGATCTTGTTCTCCACTGTATCACTAGCATGCGAGGCAGTGCCTGTTCTGTGTTAGAAAATCAACAAGTAATTATCACTGAA